GCATCCACTTGGGTGCCAAGCCTTTCTGTTGTTCCCTTTGCCGAAAGTCCTTTGCTCAGCGGACCCAGCTTGAGGATCATTTCCGCACTCATCTCAAGGACAAAAATATGAAAATGCACTCTTCCCCTACTCTTACACATCTTGCACCTCTCTTGCCATTGATGTCACCCCCACCAACAGCATCACCTCTCCCTTCTTCTTCATCACCAGCAGGTAAGAAGCGACGTGGACGTCCTCCAAAAACTCAGTATCCTCTCCCATTGTACAGGACAGAGTTCCCTTTCTCCATGCCAAATTCTCCCTATCCAAGAGATCTGAGAGCCCCTACTGACCTGAATCCAGGGTGCTCAAAAAATTTGGTGAATCTCAGTGGACAGAGATTTGATGCTTCAGGTCATAGGGGTTCTCCATCCACAAGCTATGAAATGCAATCTTGCAGTACTGGATCGCATCGCTCCAATCTCTCACCAGTTTCCACCATCTCCTACACTCCATCACCACCAACAAGCAATGTAGAACCATCAAAGAATGGGAACCGCACCATTGATAGTTCAGTTGCCATGGCAGCTGCAATGGCTGTCAATTATGGAATGCCTAGACGGGAAGAGAATCGAAGCCCAAGCTATGGAATGAATGTACAAACAGAGCATGGAAGCCCAATAGCATCTGAACGAGCTGTGGCTGCTACAATAAGCAAGCATGTAGAGTATGACAAGTCAAATGCAGTGAGAAGCAGTCCAGCTGTTGTTGGTCCTGATGTTAGGGGACCACCTCAGAGCACAGCCTATGCAAGTGATTCTGGATCCCAGCAGCACTGTAGAAGCCCCGCTGTTGTTCTCAAGAATCAGGAGAATGAAGGACGGCATGGAACATCTCCTTCAGCCTCCATCAGGTATGGTGAGCAAGGGATGGTACAGCAAGCCTCTATGCCTCTTGTGTACGAGATCCCTATTCAGAGTGATGAAGCACGCCCATGCCAACCAGGTCGATTGTAGTGTTTGTTTGGTTTTTTACATTTCCCACTTTTTTTGTTTTGTTTCTTCTGTTGACTTTAAAATGCCCTGCTGGCATTGCAAATACTCTGTTTATGTATTGCTTTGGGTGGCTTATTAGGATGTAGGATATGCCAAGGAAATAGACTATGTATCTGGAAGTGAGTGTTTTGATAATTCAGATTGCAAAGTGACAGCTGGTATTGGGATGCTTGGCATCATCTATGGTTCTGATGTGCTTTGTTATCCTTCTCGTACAAATTATTGATGAATGAAGTGATGCATGAGTTTATGAATGGCACTTGTGTATTTTCTTTCTGATTTTTATTTATCTCTCAACAGAGACATCATTGATCTTTGACAGCCATCACCAGTTGGAAAAGGAACCAAGATGCTGTCATCTTCCATTATATCATCAATAGCTCAAAGTCATGACACACAAGAAATTCATTTAAGATTTTCTCAACAAGCCAGAGTAAACTGCTTTTTATCCTCATGGACATAGTTCTCTCCATATTTAGGAGTAACTTATTGTTGTTCATGGTTACGACTCATGATTATGCATTCAAATTGTTATAATGGGTATAAGGCTCTCTCTCAAAGCAGGTTCCAACATCAGTGGCATAGAGATGATGTCTTTCTTTTTATTCCATGCTTATCTTTATTGATACATGCTATTCAGGGTAGTCCACAGTTGTCTCCCCAAAAGTAAAAGCTTATTACTTGGGAAGTATACATCTGATTTCAATGATTTATGACTGAAAAGATTGCCAAATCAATATACAGGTATTTTTACTGTGGAAAATCTCAGCATTGCATTTGAAACTAGAAAAAAAGTTACACCCTAGTAAACAAAAGTAGCTGGGTATACCAAGCAACTAAAGCCTCCAAATAACACAATTCCTTCTGAAATTTGCAATTCCATCTTGAGTTTCACAATTCATTTGTGGGTTTTTCATGCATTGCCAGGGATTGTCTGTGTCATGGTTGACCTCAGTATCCTGCAGAAGATGAATGCCATTTGGTTTGATAATTTGAAGAGTGCAATTTTGGTGCCTTGGAAATTTCTTTAGTTTGGGCCCAAATGCCTCGATTCCTGATGAGATCACAAAAGCAATTTGTAAGAGGTTTCTGAACCTGAAGAAATTCATCGGTGGACCTATGCCTACCTAGATATGCTGAAACAGGCCATTGGAGATGCCTTCGCCTCAGTAGAACCAGATATGATCAAAAGATGATGACCAGACTGCTGGCATTTAAAGAGAGACCAAGTCATTGAAAATTGTGGGTGTCATATTGAACACTTGTGATTTGGTGGTTTTTATTTGTAAGGAAGTAACTTTGCTTAAGTTTGATACCTGATGCTGAAATTTTCCACAGTAAAAATATATTGAATTGACTATCATGTGAGTCATATATCATTGAAATTGGATGCATGCTTCTTAAGTAATAGACTTTTACTTTTGGGGAGACAATTGTGGACCACTCTGTATGTAGATGCAATCTATGCAAATCAAGGTACAAATCAGAATCACTTCTAGGTGGGCATGGTCCAATATGTTACTGAATGCCTCGAGACTTTGCAATTCTTGTACCTAGTGGTGGTTTCCTTGCTTTTGGGTCCAGACTCTGCCTAATTCTTACTCTTTTGTGTTCCAAAGAGGTTTGGATTTCTGGTTTCCAGTGTGTTTTATTTCCTTTGCTTATGAATTTGTGCACTACTTCGTTCTTTATTTTGAACCACTGTAATTGAATGACCACATTGACAGAGGATACTGCTTATCTGGGAAAAGGTGAATAAGAATTTTTTTAATTTTCCAGGGAAAAATAATCACCCTTTTATTGTATCTTCTATAATAGATGCCTCTTGTCCACATGGTCATTTAGGTTAGAGCAGTGAGAGGTGAAGATTATTTTTGGCTTTAAATACTTTCATAAAAGTCATAGAATGCATATCATATTATGCACAGGACTGTACTTATTGCATTTGGTAGAAGATTGTAGACTACTGGAAGGGGGAGGAGCCAACTAACAATAATGAGAAAATTATAGACTTACAATCATACAAGGGGCATTCAAAAATTTCTTAAAACTAGTATTTTATTCATAGCATACACATATTTCCAAAATGATAGTACTAGAATCTTTCAAAGGTGTCAGCATATGCTTCTTTGGGTCTCTGCAGTTCTGAATGAACAGCTTTGGACAGATCTTGGACACAACTGAAATTTTGTTTAGCCAACTGTTCAACAAGATAAGGAAACAACCAGAAGTCACATTGGGCTAGATCTGGGGTATAGCTCATATCTAGCCCCTTGTGACTTCTGACTGTTTCCTTGTTGAACAATTGGGTGGACAAAATTTCAGTCGCATTCAAGATCTGTCCAGAGCTGCAGAGGATACAAAGAAGCATGTGTTGAGGCCTTTAAGAAGTGACTTCACCAGTTGGGTTGGTGTGTGCAATCACAGGGTGAATGCTTTGAAGGACTGCAGTATCAACATTTAAGGAAATAACATGTATGCTGTAAATAAAATACTAGTTTCAAGAACTTTTTGAACGTCTCTCATATGGATTGGCTTGGTGTAAGGTGGAGGCCTATGGGGGGCTTCAATGGGTAAGCTCTTGTTACATGCCCAGATTGAGTCAGAAGTTATGCTCTGAGGTGCTGCTAATACCATTTATTTTTTGGAAATATTCCATATTTCATTATTTGGCATGATTTGGGAATAAGTATGAGACAAAAGGTTCTGGAGGCACTACTTTCTTGCAGAAGTCTATGGTATAGTTTGTATCCTGAACCCTTGCACAGTGGCATCTCCTGCTGCCTGGATAACACCACTACAAAAGCAGATTAACACCTGTCAATTGAGTTGATTAAAAGTGGTTTTATTTCATTACAATTCAAAGGAGCAGGGCACAGAGCAAGATACATAAAAGTTTCAGGGATGGGGAATTTGAGGACAGAGCCATCTTAAAAAACAGGGAATAGGTTGAAAACTCCCTTTGGCCAACATCATTAATCCCATTTATCATTTTCTACAGTGACACTCATCTAATGGATGTCATTACCCTCAGAGCCTTTGACAGTCTACCACCAGGATAAGGATTCAGGATATAGACTATAATGAGAGGTCTATGCATACCAAAGATAGACAGTTCTTGTTTTCATTTTACTATCTAACCAATTTCAATACTTATTGCAAAGGTTTTATGATAAGCACTCGGATTGATTCAAAAAATTAAAAATAGACTATTTTGAGATTAATTTTATGGAGTAGTATCAGATATTTTTTTTGTCAAATGGCAGGTATATTGTGTTTAAGATAGACTTGTCTAAAGCCTCAAATTGATCACAAGTTAACAATAACATGATTGTGATTCTTCTTTCGTATAGCATTTTGGATAGCACATGATTGTGATTGATTGACAGTCAATGGTCATAAAATAAAATCAATTGATGAAGGTCTGACATGGGTTCATGAAATGAGTGGACCTTTAGGACTCCAGACAGCCTTTTTTTTTTCCTTGGCTTGCAATTCAACCAGCACCATCTTAATTTTCTTAGAATTTTAAACAAGATAGGGATGTTTTAGCTATTACCAATTGCAGTTATTCCTTTCTCTTAGCTGGAATTTTTATTATGTCAGATGTTTGGAAAAGAGAGTTTTAGCAAACAGTAACATAGCCCAGAAGAAACATCTCATTGGAATTTGCATTGCTCTTGTATTGAAGATGACAAATCCTGCTCTGGTACAAGAAAATACACTTCATCAAAAGCTTTTTTTAAAATCCAAACTCACCATTTTAAAAACATCCACTTTGATAAATACCAGTTACAATTTTGAGATTGTAATTTTCATAAGGATTACCATGTATTAGCAAAATTTTAATTTCATTCCACCCTGTCATAATGAAAGCTTCAGAAATAGAAGTTCACTTCACCAGTCATGCTAAATGGCTTCATCTTCCTCTCCAGTATCCTTTCCTCCTGATGTTCAAGGAGAGTAACAGGGATTGGAACACAATCTTTTATTATCTGAATTTTCTCAATGAGAGCGATATGATTGTTAAGTAGAAGTTATGGATGAGGTGGCACACAGACACAAAGGAGGAGAGAAATGATAAAAGTGTGGAAGATCACACCCCAGAGGAGAGACCATCACAGACCATCAATCAGCTCAGTCGCTTTTCCTGTTCACTGTATGTATGGTGGATACATGCTGTTCTCCCTGACTAGATGAGACACAGGCTTGTCTTCCTAAGAGCCAGGCTTTTTGGTTTTCATCCTCCCCTCAACACTCACTGAGAACTTTTCCATTACAGGATATACGAAAAAAAAGATGCCAGAAGGTTCAAGGATCTAAGCTGGGACCTCGGGTTGACGGTAATGAGTTGTTTCCAATTTGAATGTAATCTGATCAACAATCTCATCAATGCGGTCAGAAACACCCTTGAATTTTGCTGGTTCAGGTCCAATCATCTTGATGAGAGCAGGCACATCATTGTAGGATATTTGGCAGAAACGCAGAAGAGCCTTCATTGCACGAAACAGCCACTCTTCCTTGGGATTGGAGGTCAAGAATTGCAGGATGGCCATGGAAAGCTCTGTTGCAATATCATCGAATACCTGCACATGGAGAATGAAACAATGTCCTTACAGAGTCCAAGAGTAAATGCATCCAGAGGAGATGAAGGAGCTTCTCAATTGCATGCCAAGAGACTACTAATTCTCATCACAGCAGTGAATGCCTGAGATCCAAATGAAAAAAACCCAAATCCACTCCTGTGCAGAGACTCAAGAGACCTTGAACACCTAATTATTACATGGCAGAATTTTATTAAGGAAGTTCCACACTACCACCTTGTCAAGGACATGAAACATTCATTATTCAAGAGAGCAATAAATTTCAACAAAGTTATTTTAACATGATAAATTCTTTGTTTCTCTCAATCATTTTTGCTCTTAGAGAAATAGCTGGTATAGATAGAACACAAGGGAATTTTGCTTAAACCTGGGACTGCTAATAGTACGTGAGAAATCCTGAGATATGGAAGCAAAATCCTTCAGGTTATTATGTCTAGTTTTCCAATGGAATGTGAAAGTAAGAGCTGAGCTGGTGGTACTCAAGATTTCCAGGCAGGCAAAAAGCAATGGACAAATATTTCTGTTATGTACACATATACACAACTAATAATTTAAAAAAATGGATAGGATCAACAACCCAAAATTTCACTTTTCAAAGCCATAAAATGTGTTCAGAGAGCAGTAACTGAATTCTACAAGGAAAAACCTAAAAGAATGTGTAGTTCAAAAATATTTCAGAATGAAGGATGTATTGCAGGAAACACTTTAGGCTTTTCATGTTATCAACTGTATTGGTGTCTAGGTGGAAGTGGAGAGGATGTGAAATGCTACTCAAGGCAAGCCTATAAATGACTGAGAAAAGCCTAAAATATAATCTACAATACATTCTCTATGTAAAATTCTTTAGCCTAATATTGCTTATCTAATGATCTCTTGATAGCTATGACTGATTCATGCCGTTTAATCACAGCATATGTTTTCATACTCAAGAATGAGAAATTCAGTATACTAATTTTAAAAACTCCCACCAGAAAAATCAGATGACAATCAACAGGAAGGTTCAGTCTCATTGGTTGAGTCCCAAGTCCCCCTATGGAGCACATAGAGTCTATACTATACTATGGGTCATAGTATAGACTCCATATGCTAACTTCCAGTCTTAGAAGAGCTTCCACAATTGCACATTTCTCCAAATGGAAAATCTAATTTTTCTAAATGACCATCTGGAAAATTTTCCCCTCACCCTTTTGCTGTAATCCCGAAAAAGCTGATGACAAACTTTGAGTCAGGCAGAGCAGATGGGCTCCAGAGCAAAAGAAAAGGAGTGCCTACTTTCAAGTTCACATGGATATAAGGTGGCAGGAACATGTTGAGGACCTGTTTATTTTTTTCAATGAAACATATCTGATTTCTTTACAGACTCCATTCTCTGGAAAGGAAATTAGGCACCTTATGCAACCACCCATATCTGTAAGTGTGAAGGTTTCATCTATGTTTCCAGAAATACTAATCTTCAAAGTTAACCAGATTATTCTGTTAACTCAAAAACATAAAACCTACTTGGCTTTTGTAAAATTTCACCAATTATCATTTTTTTTAAAGCAAACTTATGATAATATAAATTTGAAATTCAGAAACTCTTACAGAGGAACATGACAGACAAAAAATGATCATCCCTCCTCCCTGCCCCCCACATAGTCTCCTAGCATCCCTTTCTTGTCTCCTTGTCTCTTCACCTCAATTCCCCTTATTTGCCTGTGCCTAAAAAACTGCACACAATAGGCTTTGGTCAACTAGTTCTTTACTTAGCCAGCATCTCATGATAAACTCCTCAGATAGGGCACCAACCCAAATATGCTGCTAGTGAGGATTGGGGAACAAAAAGTATGCCACTTACACAAAATTTTCTCCTCACCGCTTGTGACTCATATCCACATTCATTTTCAAACATCCATGACACTTTCCATACAATCAAGAGATCATTCCAGGCACACCTCAAATGTATACAATCATACACTGGCAGGGATTATATTGTGAATAAAATTTCAAAAATTCTCTGTTAGCAAGCAGCAATAGGGCATGCAAGACATGCAATGAAAAATAAATTTATAACTTGGTGTTTCTTTGGAAAACTGGAACTGCTCAAATGAAGAGGGACACAACAGAAAGCAAAGCTAAGAGAAACTAAGATACAACTATTATCAACAGGGCTAAGATAGAAAAAAAGATGCAACAAATACCTGAGATTTGGACCCTCGAGGAAGAATTTTGCGAATAATCATGTTACGGGCCAACTTCTGCAAAGAGGAACAAAAAAAGCAAAGGAAAATTGGGTGTATCACAGGGTCCAAAAATCATTTTTCTCTTTTCCTTACATTTCTTCACTCATGAGCAAGTAAGCGTCAGAATAATCTTTGCTTTCACTTCACACAGAGAACACCTCACTAAATGCATACTACATGAGAGATCATCCACAATGGCTTCAAGGTAAAACAAACATGGAAAGAAAAGAAGATGGACACTTCCATTACCAGATGTTTTGCTAATTGAGTTTTACATAATATGAGAGAAATGTAAAGGCAACAGCATGATAGGATCTTGAGAATGACCTACTAAGCATTAAAGAACTGCAATAAGTTATCTATCCTAGAACTGTTTTTCATGATGATTCACATTTCTGAAGATGGACTGGTCACAGGATGGGGAAAGCACATAACAGTTGGATACTGAGACTGCTATCTACATATTGAATATGTATGGAAGGAAAACAAGACTTGCTTATATGAAGTATCAACAAATGACAGTGACTGCCATATAAAAACTCTACATACTGTCATAAAAGCAACCATGGATATGTTGCAGTTTGAATATATTTAAATTTCTAAAAAAAAAAACCTGATTAAAAGAAAAACAAAATGCAACTCCATCCAGATAAAATTTAGATAAAATTGATCCAACTTTTTCCATGCTACATTTTAGACAAAAGTTCCATGTTCACTATTTAAACCCATCTTTCTTACTATATCACTTAACAGAAATATAGGAATAAAAATAATATCTAGTAAGGTGTAGCCATGTGGACTCCTCTCATCAAGGTGGATGGGGAGAAGGGTGTCGTTCAGACTCAACTACAGTATGTGTGCAGTGTTTCCTCTTAGTGCATCACCTCCTGTTAGAAGTCTCACACGGTTAGTCTTACAAACAATGCTACAACAACAGGGTCACCAACTACTGAATCACATCATTCCAAACTATTGATGATTATCCAACAATATTTTTAAATGTGTAGAGCTCCTTGTGTGCAGGATTTGAGGTCTTTGAATCATACTAGGGTCACAATTGCAGTCCCTGATGCAAAATGGAGAGAAATGCGAAATTTGGTAAGTGGTGAAGTAGATGCTGTTGACCACTACATTCATAACTAGAAGGTGATGAAGAGGATGTTGTTGACCACCACTTTCCTAATTGTATTCCTGGTTTCCAGGCTTTCAACACCTGGCTTTACTTCACCAAGTGTCCCTTCTCCTTGAAGAGTATGGTTATGACTTATGAATGCCTGCTACTCTCAATCATAAGCCTGAGTGGGATGGGACTCATGCACCAATATTGCTGAGGCAGTATGTAAACTGAAGGGATATGAAAGCCAGACATGAGAGGTCAAAACTCGTATTCTGTGACTCCCCCTGATGATCACCTTGTTCTGGGTGGGAAAGAATGGTTCACCAATTCAATTCTGTGCCTATGCAAACACTTCATGAACAGACAGAACCCCTCCTTGCATCTGTACAACAATAATTAATGGCAATTTAATATGTAATTGGTTCAAAATCTGAAAATTCCAGTGATAATTATACTCCACAAAATTCCCCAAATGAATAATTAGCTGTACTATTATAACCTGTATTACTAGCCTATATTATTACTAGCTGAATGGCTACCAACTCTACCACTTGGTAGCATCTGCAAGACCTCAAGCAACAGGCCAATCCCACCAGAATAAGATGGGTTGGCTGGAGCCTTTGCTTCAACTTCAAAACAACAATGATCACATTTGCCAATCAAAACCAGTGCCACCAAAAAACCAATTAATATTTAAAAAAGTTCATTCATTAAAGTCTGACAGTTTCAAGAAAAAAAAAATTAGAATTTAATTTCTGGCATAAGCACTCAACTGCTCAGTTGTAAAATAGAATACTTGTCCCAGGAATGTACCAGAAAAATACTCCAAAACAGTTACTACAAAAGCAATTCATAACAGCATTTAATTAATTTAGCAGTTACATAAGAATACTGGATGTGTCTGTAAGTTCTTCCTTGTTTAACTTCTCTAACAGCTAACTTTCAACCTCAAGGGGTTGAAAATTCCCTGAATTCATGAAAATTTTCTCCCTTGGCAGCATTACATGAGTTGCTGAATGCAATCACTTCACAAGATACTGGATTTTTAAGGATATCATAAATCTTATTTTCTTAATCTCATTTCCATACTGAACTAACAAGTTTTAACTACCTTTCCATGTCTGGATTGTTGCGATTTCCTGATGAATTCCTAATTTACTATTGAGAACTTATCATTTGGTTTATACTCTGTTTTTGACTATAGCCCATATGTCAGTCCTTTCATTAAAAGCAGGGGTCTCAAACTCATTTGGGCATGCAGGCCACATCACCAAAATCTGACCTCCCTGTGAATCATCTACCACTACCATATATTGTGTAAATTGGGTCTGAAGCATTTCTCTCTCTGTGTATGCAAGTGGGTCGCAGGCTGCATTGAGTGCATTTATGGGCCACAGGTTTGAGACCCCTGATTTATAGGATTTCCAGAAATCTCCACACAGAACAGAAGAGATTTCAACATTAAACAACATATTCTGTTGCATTCAAGGAGCGAATCATTTGTGACATGACTACTGTAGCAAAGCAGATCTCACACCTATATAAGTAACATTCTCTAGGAAGAGAGATTAAGCATCAAATTTTGATCATACTATTTCTCAGCTTCCAAATGGTAATTTGGCAAAGATTTAAGAAGTTGCAGTGATGAAAAGGAACATCCTCCCAAAAGGAAACCATTCTTATTGCATGTTACTAGTCACATACATTATCTTGATGAGTTTGTTTTCCCTTCTCCAGTTAAGCCTCCCTTGAGACCTCATTGAAACACTGTTTTCCTAGCATTACCTCCTATCTTTAAACTGCAGCAACAATACAGCTTGATGAGCTACAAGTGAAAGGACAGAGGAGATGGTGAAACAAACTAGGGTGTAGGTGATACACACCGCTGACTTTACCTCCTTCGTGGCTAGGTTGTGCATGAGAGCAGTGCCTTTCTCCTGCAGAGTTGGCATGTTACTCAGCAATGCAGTGACAGCCACCTTTGTTGTCACCCTCACATTGCTTAGCTGCAGCCCTTCACGATTCCATTCTGAGATGTATAACAGCCACTCCGAACTGCTTGTTGTTTCAAACAGGTTACAGATCTGGAATATTGATACCATGATTCACTACTTAAGGGAATCAAAATGTTGATAGTCCATTTAAAAAAAAAGAAGTGAATTCAAAACATTACTTGGAAAACACAGTAAACATGACAATATTTACAATGGAAAAAATCTCTGAAGAGTAGGAGAACCTACAAAGAGGGCAAGGGCCTCTTGCTCTTCATGTGAATGTAGTTCCATGTCATGGGCATAGTTCATGAGTTGGTGCTCCTTGCGATCCTGATGAAGGAGAAGGATGATATCATCCTTGAGTGCAGCACAAGCAAGGAGCCGCAGGAGCTTGCTCCTCACCCCTGGCTTCAATTCCTTGTCATGAAGTAGTTTCCCTGATGAATGGGGACATTAAACACATTTAAAGATCTATCATAGATTGCACGTCCATGACAGGAGTTTTAATTATATTTGAACCTTCAAAATACAATGGTCATTATTTCCCACGTTCAAAAGTCCACAAAAGAATCTATGTCTAAAGAGGATCATTATTCATACAATAGGGGTATGATGGAGTGAAAGATTTTGCTAGCCCAATTTCAAAATGGTTAGGGTCCATTGGGACAAAATGAAACAATATTTTTTTAAGTAATTATGAAACATTATCTACATATTACTCAAAACTAAATGGAGATCAGAAGCTGGAAAATACCTGCCAAAGATGGTACCACAGATTTATTCCCAAGAATTACTCAAAAATTAGTAATCATTTCCATCTGGTATATACAAACCTACATACATGCATACATTTCAGAACTGCTTATCCCAACACAACAGGGTAGTGGCTCAAGCAGGTGCAGGAGCATCTTCCAGTGTTTTCAATCCTAAGCAATGGACTCAAGCTTGGCATATGGTATACCAAGTCTCTCATGGCAAAGACTTGCAATGCAGTCTGTCCACCTAGCACAAGGTCTATCAACTGGTCTTTGCCAGTCATTTTAGATCAGAGGACTCTTTAGGAGTCTCTCAGGAGACATGTCCAAAGCCACAGTTAGGACCTTTCAATTTGAAGTGGCTGCTTGACCTGGAGGTTGTCATGTATTGCAGTACTTCACACCCTAGCATATCTGTCATATATCTTGAGCATATCCAATAAATTACAAGTTGGTCATAAAGAAAGCCTTCTGAATTCTGATTAACAGGGTGGCCCAAAAATACGTACGATTTTGAAAAATCCAATTTTTTGTGGACAACTTCCCGAAGTGACTCAAGCTCTGCATTGATGTGGGAGGTGGTCGTTTCAAGCAAAAATTATGTTTATTTTGATGATGTGGGTTGTATAGATGTTTATTTAACCAATTGTTTATAAGAATGTTTGATATTTTGAATAAAGGATTTGATTTTTTGAAATCATATGTATTTTTGGGCCACCCTGTAGCTTCAGCAGCATTGCCCCTTGGCATTGCACTCCTTGTTAATTAGATCCTTAGGGATCCCTATGTCAGGGATAATATACTCAAAACTTTCATCCTCTTCTTTTTTTTTTCCGAGTGCACTTTTCACAATCTCCCTGCTTTTTTCACTATGGGGTAATTTTTAAACAAGCTTTGGGGATAATTTGGAAATGCTCAAAATATCTTGGAAATACAAATTAAGAAGAAAAAAACAATTTCCGTAACACTTCAAAATTTCTTCAAAGTGATGGAAAAAGGAACGAGTAAGGCCTGGTGAATGGTGCATGTTCAAATCAGTTCACTTTCAACAAAGCCAGCAAGTGCATGGATTTTATTTTTCACTTTATCTCTGACCTGAATCTCCCAGAGAAGATGATGAAACAAAATGAGCAAGTACCAATGATTTCATTCATGCAAATCAATCCCAATTGACCTTGAAGATGAGGAACCTCAGAATTTTTTCATTACCAAGAATAGAGACAAGACTGCTTTCTGTGATTGTGAGGTTGTCTTTGGAAAGTTTACCCATCAATCACTGTGCAATATGCCTTTGTCCAGGAGAAGTGCCAAGTAGATCATCTGTGAGATCAATAATCAAAGGACTTCTGGCTTTGATTTTTCTTTCTCTCTCATTCTCAAGGGAGTTAGGTTTACTTTTTCAACATGCAGGACAACCAAATGTGCTCTTGATGCCAACATTGTAACTCTAACACTGAGGATGATTTGAGTGAATTGGATTATCAGGCTGTTTCTAGTGAAAGCAAGGGAACAGATGAAGATGTCAGTGAAGCATGTTAAATGCAAGTAAAGATGAAAAAAAAGGAAAATCACCAATTTATTTGAATTTCCTGCATAACAGGGGTATACAAACCTCCCAAAATTAGTGTGTTCAAGGGGTTAACCTTATATTTCATATTCATTTCAACATGTTTTAAAATACACCCATTCTCAGGGCAACTATAACTATGAAGCACACATTGAAGCACTTTTATTTTGAAGTGCATTTGACCAACTCTAGACCAGAAACAGTCCTTCAATCTTGTCAATTAGAGACCTGTTATGCAGATGGGGATGAGAGGGCATTCTAACCAATACAAGCATTATTCTGCAAATGTGAAATACACTGCTGACAAGAAAAGGGGAAAGGCTTACCAATAAAATGTATGGTTTCATCAGAGAGAGCCCATGCACCTTCATCTTTGACTGTATACTCTTTAATTTCACTCAGGGCTTGCCTGTCCTCTGGAATGTTCCTCTCTCCCAAGTTCCGACACAGTGAATCATATTCAGCTTTGGGCTGCAAGTGGAGAATTGAGTAAGGTGAAAAATTATTATGAAAATGCAAAAGAAGTTTACAGCACCATGACTACTACACATACTTTATACTTACCTTATACTTATACTACACATACTCTATACTTATATTTATACTTATTTGGCATTCATCAGGATTTTAGAGATGACTGATCTGTAATGTCAGTGTACTAAAGCTTCTCCCTTTCACAGAAACATGGTAAATCAACATGAATTATGCAACAGAGATCAACAACAGCTCAAGACTATATACCAATCCAAGAGTAAATGAAGGGAAGAATTAACCAAGCAATAAATTTCCCAGGAAAGAGAGAAATCATGAAAGCTCAGACCTTACTTTCAACTGAAAAATACAGTGTGTCTGATAGTTATGGACTCATTCTGTAATTTGCACTATATTACAGAGAAGTACAAAGAACATATAATTAACCCTTTCACTGTTATGCTAAAAATATCTGCCATCTGTGTTATAACAATAAATATAAAAAATTTGTGTGCAATAAAAATTGGAACTGTTTACATGGAAACAATGGTTTGTAAAAAAAAAAAAGTTTATATGAAATCTAATTAAGATAGCAGTTACATGTATAAATTGTATAATGGTAAAATAACCTAGAAACGGTGCACGGTCAGAGCCCAAGAACATACTCAGGCTACCATTACACAAGCATGAATATATACTCAGGCAAACAGCAAAAGAGTTTAGACTGCAATTTATACATTTTTGAGAACAAGACCACATGTCATCATGGATGTTACCACTAAGATTACATGGATCCACTTTACCACTTACCACTTTTTTTTCACTCTTTTTGAATATTCTCATACAGCAGAGCATTCACCTCTCCTAGAGAATGAGTGATCTTATCAAAACACATGGCAAGCATGCATGGTTCATAGCAATTTTTGCCATATGAACATGTGAGAAGGAGATTATGGAAGATGATCCTCAGGTTTCAAAATGTAGACATTCTCTCCTAGTCTATATTTCCATACACAAAGGGCATGTTAACAGAAGAATGCTCACATTGAGATCTCGGAAGACAATTGGTGGTTCCTTGGGTTTCTCCTCAGCAACTGGTTCCTCAATGGCTTCTAACAGTTTCTCTGCATCTGCCATCTCTCTTACTATTCCATCCACTTCCACTTGTATAGAAAACACTTAATCAGCTTATACTTTTTCTCCTCCTCTTGGTTCTTCCTGGAACAAGCCAGATAGTGATCACAGACAAATTTATTATTATATGTCAATACATCACCTAAATTCTCTCATGCATCCAAAGGCAAGTGAAAATCAGCTGATGCCTTCAAAATTTTAGAATTTTTTTTTTTAACCCTGGCCTAGCTCTTTTATCCTAATATTATGGGTGTCTCACATGCTGTATCAATACTTCATTGCACAAGGAGTTGAGTTAGGCTTTTTTTTTTTGCCAAGAATCTAAATGTGAGACTCACCTGAGGTATATTTCACTGAGGTGAACACCCAGAGCTGGGTCCCTGTGATGTTGGATTGGTGTGGGACTGCACGTTCCCAGATATTGGCTGCAGCTGATTCAACAACTGTGCCAAAGATTGACCAAGAGGGCTGGAACAAAGGAAAACACATTCTCATACAATACCTTCCCTTAGGAAGTTGTCAGCAAATATCCACAATATCATAACTCTAGCCCACAATATCATAACCCTGCAAGTTCTTCATTCTTATTAGCTTATATGTACTACCCTTGTAATTAAAACTGTGAACTAATACAATTATTTTAAAACTTACAGTGGACCAATTTTTAATGCCCCAGGAACAGCTGTTCTCTCTAGATTGGGAGTATCTGGCAAAATGACATCCAAGAGAATATTTCTGGTAGACTTACGTATTCAAGACTTCACTCGGGAGATCGAGAATGAAGCTGGGAATGGAACTTCCAGTCAGAAATTCTGCTAATTCATTCGAAAAAGTGTTGCAGTTGTGATGAAGAAGGTTGTAGTCAATCCCTCTAAAAATCAAGGAAGAATATATTCATTTGAAACAGTTGAAAATGTCTGACATAACTTAGCAAAGATATTACCAAACAAGAAACCTGCAGAAACTTTATTGCAAATGCTAGATGGTGGAAGAGTCAGCAATTTTGATGGGAATGAAATATTAGAGTTAGTCATGCATAAACAGGAAGTTGATACCTACTTGAAAGTTGTATTGCTGAGCTGAGAGAGCAGTTCCTTGAAAAGTGGAAAGGGGATCTCAGTGCGACCAAGGACCTTTATCTGATCTGGATTCTGAAGAATAGTCTCTCCCTGGAAATAATAAGTGAAGGAACAGGATTCTTATGGCAGTCTCAAATTATCACAGATCCAGAGCTATGCAAAATATGAGCAACTGAGTATTTCAAACACAAAATATTAATATAATCCAAAAAATATTAGCAAATATGACATTTTAAAATATATCTAAAAAATACAGGTACAAATATAATGTACAAAAAAAAACTTTCCTGTGACAGCTCAACAATTCTGAAAAACTTCCCATCCAATAAGTAAAGCAAGATATCTGATGTAGCAATTTTTGGGATGCATTTGGGGTGTAGCCACATGAGGCTGCACAATTACACCATGGAAATCATACGTAAGACAACTGAATGCATTAAAGTATTTTATATTTTGTTAAATGTATTTCAGAGATCTTGCAGAGAACTGCATTTCAAATATAAAATACAAATACATATTTTGATACATATTTAAGTACAAAATATCTCAAATGTATTGAACCATGAATTTAAATTCTGCCCATCTCTGCAAAGATCACAACCAATATCTTTGTAATGATTTCCTCTGCAGACCTGACCTCAGACACATCTGAAGAGCAGTTTACACTGCATCTAAGAAGTTCTAGCAGCAAGTCGATATGAAAATATTGAATTGCTTTTTTCGCCTATCGCCTTCCTGATCATGTTACGCCATCATCGTCCTATGTTTATCAAATTTTCCCTTGGAATCTTTGCTTTCCTTACAGCACACTTATATCAGCAAATTTTCAAAGTTATTGTTGCTGCTTCACGGGGATTATGATGCATACCTGTAGAAAGTAAAGCAAGTCACCGGCTCCATTTAAAAAAAAAGAGGAATTTAAGACCGGAGAGAGCCCTTCCCAATCCCAGGAATGAGAATGAAAGGAGGGAGGTCACAAAAAAATTACTGGCACCAAGCCAGATACGGGGCAGCTAGTCACCCATTTAATGTACACACATTCGTTCTCTCCCGTTCCTCGCCCCTCCACAGCGTATGTTTAGTTGGTGTGCATCTGCATATAGTACCAAGTACAGAGTGATATAGAGTGTCATTCCCCCTCACAAGCACGCCTGTCAGTGAATGCCATTATTTCGACTGAAGATCTTGAGAAAATACAGGTCATATGGCAAGGCCACATCATGGGGGGGAAGGGACTTTCCCAATGCCCGCCAGCCATTCCTGTGAGAATATATGATACGGATCTCTTGTGATAATCATTGCTTATTGCCAACGTCAGGTACCCTGATATGGAAGGAAAGATCACCCTTCCCAGATCACTGAAACTCTGAAAACAAAAGCCATTGTGAATCAGGAAGATGGAAGATAGGAATCAAGGGGGGATCATCGCATGCAACGTGAACGTGACCTATGACAGACGAGATTGGAATTCAAATCCGCAACCACATCACAGTCGCTTTTGCATGAAGAGAGATATTTTTTTAAATCCCTAGCTGAAAATTACGATGACGTCACCTTTGATAATTACCCCCGCTCCTCTCTCCCCTTCCCTCCTTGGAATAAAAGCTCCTGCGTAGAGGAATCTGGCGGGACTGTATATCCTAACGGTGAGAGTAATTCAAGCAGCGTCACGCATGATATTCGCCAATTTCTTTAACGCCACAAAATAATAAGGAATAGCGACCAAGGGTCGATAAAATATTTGCGAATCAAGTACTCTGTTCTTTCACGGTGACGGTGTCTCTCCCAAACCCCATGTGAATCATGACAAGCGAAAAATTCATATCGCGCGCGAAGCGTGAGCCACGCACACTTCCAGATGAATGCTGCTAAAATTCCATTTTGTGCATGCAACTTGTAAAATCCCCAGTGCTTCTGTACAAGAATGGGGGGACGGTGGAATGGAAAGAGGAAGAGATGACGAGGGAAGGGAAGGGAAGGGAATGTGCCATCTTCTATTTTTACCGCTCGTCTACCTCGGGTCTCATTCCAAGACTCGTTGGGGCTTTTCAGCCCTCCTTCCCTTCCATTTCCTTCTCGTGGACACGACAGACAAGAAAAAAAGGAAAAGAAGCAGTCACGAATCCCACCATCCCCCTCCTCATCCATCTGCATGGTTTCACGTACACAACAGTCGATAAGATTCTTGCAACATAAGAAAAACCAGCTCCGTTCATGACAGCTCTCTTTGTCTTCTTAACAATAGCTTCAGCAAAGGAGGCAATTACGAGGGGGTATCCTAAAGTATAGGGATAGAAGTGCTCATTGGGTATACGCGAGATACATACCAACAAATTTGGGCACGACTACCCTAATAACATATAACATTGATTCAACGTCCGGATATTGAATCAACATTGAATCAAAGTTGTTTCAATGTTATACGCTACTAGGCTATTTTCCTACACAATCTATTAGTGCCCTTACTTATATGCACTTTTCCATCGATTTAATCAGCTTCTTTAAGCTGCAAATAATTATTGGGGTAAGGCACTTCAAAGTAGCACGAACTGTCTTAAATCTCCCCATCACTGCTGAAACGCCACCCTCGAAGGACTCCTCGACAGCCAAAGCAGATGGAAGCCGCAAGGCGCTACGCCTGGACAGTGTGGCGAATGAGGTACCACCTCCCAACCAAATCCTTGAGGAGTTGTATGGGCAGAATGTGGCCTTTCACTGTCATATTGCAGTATCATGCCACGTGTCTAATTAATAAAACGCACTTGTCACAGTGGAGCTTTACGTGGATTACGATCAAGAAACTTCAGTCCCAAAAAACCGTTGCCATCAACTTGCTCACCGAACATACAGTTAATCAATATACCAGTCCTCTATGATTCCAATGACATGAATCACTGAATGGGTGAATTGCAGAGAAACGGGATAGAATAATGTCCACGGATACGATTGCTGACGCGACGGGCAGCATTGCATTCCTGTGTCTACCACATAGTTAATAGTTGAAGAATACAGAGCATCCACACTGCTTATCTGAAAAATAACTAAGCTTGGTGGGAAAATCTAATATTATCGCCAGCCAAAAAAAATTGACCTTGCTGTATGGCCCACAGGATTAGTCTCACTTGGTTTCTGCCGTCACAGCACCATGCTAATGCTATGATTTCATTCTTCGCAAAAACAGATAGGGGTAGAGAAAGGTCTAGAATCCCATTACCAGAAGACATCCAAACATAGTGAAAGCCATGTCATTTGCACACATTTGCACTAAGAGTTTAGAGTCCAACAAAGACGGCAGCTCTCAACTTGAGTGCTGGGATGCATTCATGTTTCCTACTGGCTGAGGAAATGACGTTTTAGATGACGTCATTATTAAATCGTGAACTTAGCCGATCGCCGTAGTATAGTGAGTATATTAAAGTAGCCTGAAGAGGATTTAGCGTAGGGAGAAAGGACTGAGAACACGATTCATTCATTATTCGTTACTATCTTACCAAGACAATCGTTATGTAGTTGGTTCTTTATCATCTCGTCGAGTGACGAGTCCCTGAATTCATTTCGTCGACCTCCAATTCACCGAATGCTCAACTCTCCGCATTCTATCCTGCCAGCTTGAACTCTCAAAATATTCAACTCGTCGATTTATGTTAATTAATAAATAATTAAATTATTATTACTGTAACTGACTTTCGCCGGGTACGCAGGTGCCGAATTTCCAAAGTACTTGATAATTTTCACTTAACTATGATTAATGAATTATGTATTTGTTATAGAGGATGAATTGACAAGAAACATTTACAATAAAAAAACTCAATTTTGTTAAATATAAAATGCATTTTTGTCAATTCATCGTCCATCACAAATACGTCAAACGTCATAATCATGAGAAATGCTTGTCAAGTACTAGGAAATTCGACACCCGTGTACCCAGCGAAAAAAGCTTACAATCTTTCATTAAGTTGGCAAGTTGAATATTTGGAAAGTTCAAGTCAGCAGGATAAAATTCCGGGGGTTAAGCATCCGAGTTGAGCAATCTGTGAGTTTTAAGTTGGTGATCGTCATTCGATGGAAATTGAACATTAGGCAAGTTGTAGTGGGTGAATCGTCACTCGGAGAGTAAAGCGATCACCATGTAGTCAACCATTTATTCGCACAACCTAGATGATAATAGCCAAGGTTCATAATCCTAATCATGAATTTCCGATTATAAAAAAGTAATATGTTGCTACAGGCCTGGTTATTGCAAGGGTATATTAAATTGTTTTATATAGAAGTATCGGTAATGGTAAAAGAGACCAGCTGATCCTGTTATTCGCAGTCATTCATTAAGGTCACATTCTCCGGAAATAAATAAAAAATAACACCCATTCTCACAGGGGGATTGCTAGTGCATAATGCCCATTACCTACATTCCCAAATACTCCAATGCAATCACTCTCCTCTCACAAACCCAACTTGCCTAGACTGTGCAATTAAGGTGATGAAAACGTCAATCAGAGGGAGACATTAAAAGAGACAACACCAGGAATGGTACGGCACTTCCACGGAGAATCCTCACCGCTTCCATACCGTATAAGCAATGTCTAATCAATTTCCATCCTCCAATGACCCAAATCTCTCTTGATTTTCCCACGAAACCTCGAGGATAGAAAGCACGGCAACAAATCATTTGGGCCCTAAATGAAGGAACTGCACGTAACTCTCCAACTTCGTTTGTGGTAAGGCAGGGGTTCCCAAACCCTGGGTCGCGACCCAGGGTTTGGATGTTGAATTTTGAGTCGTGACCAAAAAAGTTTGGGAACCACTGTGGACATGTCGGAACTTGACTGGAGGTAAACGTAGGGCTCCCTGTCGGGGTTCTGTCGGAGTTGAGGTGTAGCGGAATTGGAAAGTTTCCAGATGATTCCTTATATCTCTGACATTGGCGTAGGAATGGGAATGGTGCTCTGGCAGGAAGCACAGAAATGGGATTATCCATAAAAACCTGTTCACTTCCACTGACTTGCGCTGCCAAGAAGTAGGGCAGATGGTCTGGCTTTTTTCATGAAAAATATTCCTGCATATTTCCTCAGTTATTAGGTGTAAGATTTTGCACCGAGTAACTGAGAAACAAAAGGCTGTAATGAATTATTGCAACTGTTCTTCAAATTACTTCGAGTTTCAACAAGGGAGGAACGTGCCAAACAAGGAAAGGAGAGCTGAACAGGAAGAAGACTTTTCGTCTTTAGCATCCAACACGTTTCATCATTCCAGTCACTGAAGCAGAAAGTCTTAATTGACGAAAATTGAGAGCGCGTAATGGATGGGAACATTATTTTAAATGTAATTTGGACTACAATTACTTAACCCCATGAAAAACCATTTAATTAGGAGACTACTTAATAGTTGGGGTTATAAGGGCATTTCAATATCTTTCATTACATTTGCAAATGAAAGTACAGTAATTCAGTGCTTACATTTTTTTAACACCATCTGGCATATGGGAGAACATACAGATGTTTCTCCCAAATTGACACGAGAAACTCAAAGGTTTATCCCGTTCTACCTCCTAGGGGCTTCTCCGAGCCCTAGAACGTGCCAACCAAAGGACACGAGTCCCACCTCATTCCATTCCGTCCATCACAGTGTTTGTGTGCCGTGACGACAGAGCATTCCCCCCACCTTTCCCTATATCACCTAGGAGAGAGAGGAAGTGAGTGGGGGGAGAGAGGTTTCCGGACTTAGACGAGCGGAGGGATTTCTGCTATTTCTGATCGCCTTCCCGTGATGGATAGGAGCCAAGAAGGGCAAAAAAAAAAACAGAAAGAAACAATCATGATGGTCTGTAGTGGAAATGGAGCCGGGAGAAAGGTGAGAAAAGGTGATTGCACAAACAAGAACCACAAGGACGTCTTTTCCCCCCAAGGTCTCTTCTGCCATTAACCACCACACGATTTGATTTTCTTAGTAAAAATCCAACCGCGTCTCTTCCTCTGCACCACATGTACAATGCGTTCAGAAAACTTGTACGTTTGGCTGAAATTTAGAACCAATTATATATTTATATTTCGGCAAGGTATGAATCGGATTTATCCTGCTGTTCTTACTTTCATTTAGAGGGAAAAATCCACCTTTCCAATACCAGACATCTCTTTTCTTAGGGCACCCTGTAGGTCTACAAAGCGAAAGGACGAGATGACCTTCTAACATTACCATCGATCCCTTCCAGCTTCCCCTCGCTCATCATCATTAGTAATAGCAAATACACTCTCATACCAGGTACTACTTAGTGTACCTGGCACCGACACCAGTACATGAAAACGGCTTTTTTCACGTATGCAGTATGGTCCAAGTCGAGTTCCTATCTTACTTCGGTTCGTTCGAAAAGCCAATCCCCTACGGAATCACTACACCTACCTATATAGTGGCTGCAGTCAATCGAAGAAATCACAGCGCAAGTAGGAAAATTCCACGCTGTGTAAAATTTTCTTGATTTATGTTGAAGTTTCGGCGTTATTCGTGAAGCTTATTTCAATGCTAATCATTTTTTTATTACCTTTTTCAATTTAAATACATAATGACCCTGCTTTATAGATATCGGGGCACAACTCGACCGGACTTCTTCAATGCTCTCTACCGTCACTAATATTAATTCCATACATATAGTACATACAGTACAGAAATAAAGGAACTTTGAACGTAAATTTACATCGGGGAGTTTTTAAGTTTCATTCCACAAGACATCTATCCTCAGTGACCTACTTAATGGCACGCCTACTGAAAACGAATCCGTTAGAAACAGTCAATATAACAGTGAACATAAAAATATATCAAGCCGAAAGTTACTAAATGAGTGATGAGAAAGCCGGATTTTAAAAAGTATAACATTATAATGAAAGTTAATTCCTTTTTAAGTTTATTGTCAAAATTTTCGCCACGTTCCTTCATGAGAATGTTACGTTACCCAGCCCGGAAAAAAAGGAAGATTTACAAGAATTTAAAGGCACACAAATTAAATTCGTTGCACTCGACCACGGACCCTGACGCTGGATTCGGTGGGTGTTTAACTAAGACGTCCGGGCACTGTATGAGAGTTGAAATACCCTCGGGCGCGACGGTGAAATGAAGCACGCACACTCACAGCCATGCACACGTACCCAAGGGGTGAAGATGGCACGTTTACATGCGACAACGACGTCGAGTCGCACCCACACCCTTCAAGACGAGACTGAGGAGGAGGGAGGAGGGGGAGAAGGAAAAGGAAGAGCAATGCAATAGGCATGGGCCTGACATTCCTCCCCCATTACCAAACCCAGCCCTGAGTCAGAGCGAAAGGGCCTGGCTTGCATCAAGGGAGACTGCGCCAGGGACCCGTGAACGTGGTTGCCGAGAAGGTTGTCGTCCATTCGCTTCCCTCCATCCTACCAATCGATCCTATGCTTCCTACACAGCCGCATCTCTCATAGTTGAGAAGAAACACGCCGGGAAGAGACCGATCCAGTCCGGTCATCCTTCAATCGCAATTCGTTTCTTTAAAATAAAAAAAGCATGCAAAATTAATTCGTCTTCTTCCTGCCTAGTAACTTTCTAACACTAATTTTTTCAACGTTCATAGACCGGGCTTGTCACTTTCTCTTTAAAGGGAGGATTACCAAAGACAGGCATCTCAACAAGGGTGCCACTTTTCGTGATTCATCACCCTGGCGTTTCCATCCAAGGATGGTCACCCAAGGTCACATCCGCCTTTAACATGGATTCCCATTCCTATTCTCGTCATATTCCCATTCCCATGGAGGAATGGGAATGTGACGAGAAGTTCATTGTTACACCACACCTTAATTCCTTACATTTCGTGAAGAGCTACTGCTGACAAAAACTCACTCTGACAGACTGAACAAAACGGGGCGCAAAATGATTCCTAATCCCTACACAAGAAGTGGGAACATCTCCATGCAAACAAATCCAACCAACGATTGTTTTAAGTTCTGTCCACTATTTTATATGCCTCGCCTTCAGGATTTTACCTAGCGTTTCTTCCTCAAGATCAGGAAGAATCCATGATCCCCTGCACATAGAAACAATATGTACCATTCAATCAAGGCACAGCTCATTAATTCAGCGTCTTCAACTTTTGCCAAGGAATCTTAATGAGCGATATTCTTAGGCCTATCCAATAAGCCAAAGGTGGCAGCTGTTCATACTGCCAATAAAAGCTCCAGAACCTTACAGCAATGCAATCATTCTTGACAGACATAGTTAACTCATCCCCAGCTCTTCCCAGAGAACAAATATTCCCAATAAGTTCATAATAGGCTCACTCCCGTTATAGCCCCAACCTTGCAAGTCGCCAGCCACCAATACTATTCATACAGACGTGCTTCTTTCCACGTAAATGTGGCGCAATTTTATGTCAAGTAGCATACTCGTAATGACATGTGCTTTTGACAAAAACATTGCTAGTCAAAGCTCCAAAGTTCTTTTTTTTTTTTAAATGAAAAACTAAATATATACAATGTTTACATAACATGTTATGACCTAACACCACAGAATTAAATTGGAGGTATTGTGAGAAAAAGAAAACACTCTCTTCACTTTCTTTCTCACAGATACCAAAAGGGTATACTCTAGAAAGAATCAAGTGGGAATCAACTGAAAAAAAACGTTTACAATGACAGAGGAAGAACCCTTCAGGCAGATGTCTCAAATACATAAAGTAATAATTTTGTTCAGAGAAAGACAAAAAAGACAAGTGTAAGAATGGGTAAGACTGTTCTGTAGTTGCCATTAGAACAACCCATCCCCTCTATGCACAGAAGTAATTGCATAATATTCCAGTTATGGTCTTTATGTGTGATTTCATTAATTATTCACTTGTTTCAAAGGAAAACTTGCTTAAAAAAAAACCTGACATGCACATGAATTCAGTAGAATTTTAAAAATAGCTCACGAGGAATGAGGAAAACATGACTGAAAGCCACATGACAGGCCTACTTAACAGAGAACAAAAATCATCAACACAGGCTTTCAGAACACAAGTCACAGAAATTCTCATCATGATCTGCCAGCAGGGTCCTCTTCTTTCAGAAACTAAAATCCAGGATAATCTTTTTCACTTAGAAAACTGACCTCACAACAGCAGTTAGCATGGTAAAGAACATGGATCCATGCAAGTACTGAGAGCATTACAAGTAAGCAGGCACTTACTTCCTATTGGTTCTAACCCTGAGCAATAGAACTTTCAGGAGACCTATTCCACTTCATTTGATCACCATTCAAAGGCTGGACAGACTCAGTCACAAGGACTTGGATCCTAGTTCCAGTATCATTATCCATCAATCTAGCACAGTAACAGGGATTCTTACCTATAAAACTGCATTCAGCTATCTGACAGCATTGTGCACAACTAGCACATGACAATATGGCATGCCATTAATGGCAAACATTACTCAATCTTCAAGTCCTGATGATATGCTCCAGTTGTTACACTGGAGAAAATGTAATAGAACTCTTGAAGGACTACTCTGAAAGGACGAGAGTCACTATTCAAGAACAATGGTACTGAAATAAAAATAGGTTGCTATGACTTCTGACATGACCCTATCAAGCATTCCATTAATAAAGTACAATGACATAGGTAAATTCCACCTTCCAATTCAACCTCACTCATATGAATGGCTTCTTCATCAGTAATTGCAATTAAAACAAGTATCAAGCTATATTTTCCATCTAATAAGCTAGACTCATTCACACATGCACTCATTGATTTTTGCCATCTCTACCTCCACACTTCTACCCGATTACCAATCCACTAAATTTGTTTACAGCCAAAGTGATGTCAAGACCAATTCCAGTTCATCACAATAGCCCATGCTGACAAAACTGTGTGCAGGTAGGTACCACCAAAATGCCTCCAACAGAAGAAGGGATACTTTGCCCAGCTGACACCACCATTCAAATTTATCTTTCTTCTCAAGCATTCCTCCTTAGGGACAAAAAAACTTACTGGCTTGCAGCTCACGATTCCACCTCCACCAAAGAAGTATTCACGATCAAAGACAACAATGGAAGTATGCCAGATGCCATCAAGGTGTCTCCCTGAAATGAATAATATCCTTTTGCTCAAAATCCCACAAACACAACCCTGATGCTTGGGCATGGGTTGTGTCTCTTTTAGATATCTAATTGAATTTTAACAGTTACTGGTAGGTATCAGGATTATCAGCATTATTTGCAATGGATGCTGGAGGGTCAGCAGGGCATCAGTTTTCATAATTCAGTTTTTCAAGTCAGGTTTTCTAAATTTCTATTTCCTCATAGAAACAGGCAGGTTTGGACTGGCCCACTGGGATACTGGGAAATTTCCTGGGGGGGGGGGGGGCCCAGACACACAATGCAGACCAAGGGGTCCCCACAGCTGGTGCTGGGGCCCCTTGGTCTGCATTATAGGGGGAGGGCCTAGGTCACCAGTCCAACCCTGGAAACAGGGCTCTATTTTTTTAAATATTCAATTGAAATGAACCTGCTTTACAAATCCTTTTTAAGAGGGAATGAAAATACTGATAATTACCTAAGACTGGATTTCATGCTTGATTTATAGGGACACTGGAAGGATTTCAAGATCATTGAATCTAGCTTCTTTTTTTTTGCCAAGTAGAGTAAATTTAAAGTTGATTATATTCTTAGATTATTACCCAAGACATGAAATTTTGTCCTCAGCTCATATTACTAGGCAATCACTAGGTCACTTAGCATAACAGGTAAGATATTATGACAGTTGGCCTGCACATGCACTCATGCAAGGGAAAACTTTCAGAATGAATATGAAAGTTATGAAGATAAAAATGAAAGGAGTAAGAGAGCTGCAAGTTTAATTAATTAATCAGGTCAACCTTTCAACCCACCATTTCACCAAGCTAGCAAGCACACAACAACTCAGAGGCATGCAAAAAAGGGGGAGAAGAATGAAGCACTTAAGGACTCACCTATGAGAGTACGAGCTAAGACCTTTGCCATTCCTTGAGAAACATCATAAATGTAAAGCTTGACTTCATTTTCATTTTCCTTGACACCAGTGTCATCCAAGAAAGACAAAAAATCCATCAGCTAAGCACCATTACAATTCCAGTCTAAACATCAATGTAGTCCATTTGTTTAAACTGAACTGCAAAGAATCAAAAAAAGGTTATGGCAAACATTGTGAATTTTCTCAGCATAAGTAATTAAAATTATGCTGGACTTAAGGCAGCTTCTCATTTGAGTAAAGCATTTTTCAACTGGATGCTAATGAGGGTCTTTGAATCATTTCAAACAAATAGAAATTCAATCAGGTGAAAATTTGCTGGATTCAAATGAAACAGCCACAGAACCAACATCAGAACACTGCAACCTACAATCATGTAGGCCAAAGTAATAGTCTAGCATATGTGATAAAAATATTTTTTCACCCTTTCTACATGACTGCGATATGTGTATACAATTCCATATGGTAGGGTGGCAAGCTTTTTTTCAGGAAAAACTGGGAGATTTTCAAGAAAATGCCAGAATGGTAGTTTCTACAATGGGGGGGAAAAAAAACTGGGACACCAAGATGGAAAAGAAAATTCAAACTGTTACATAGCCTCAAAATCCGGGACTGTCCCAGTAAAACTGGGACATCTGGTCACCCGACCATACAGGGACGTCAAAAGCAGCCAGAAAAAGCGCTATACTTATGAGAAAAAACTTGTAAACCTAGGATGAGTTAATTAAGCTCAAAATTTGGCTAAGAAAAACCTAGTAGACAAAGGTCTTAATCATACTATTGATTCATTAACCCCTTAGGTGTTTCAATTCTGATAGCCATGTATACCCACTGTAATTTAATTTTTAAATGCCATGTCTTTGTCTGTGCAATGGTGCACGAAATTTACCATAACTAGAACCTAACACATGTGTAATACTATGTAGAATGCAATCAGTTCATAAGACGATATTAACCGGATGGGTAATATTTAATAATAAAAAAAGCAAATGGCATGCTGGAACAAGATGCTTAATATATCAATAGCACTTAGGGGTTAACTCAATTCCATTCAAGCCATATTCCTCTGTCAGGTTGCAAAGAAAAGGGAATAGATGTATAATATACGACCTATAAATAACATAGGCATAAGAGGATGAAGAAATAAATACAAACACACTGTTCATAAAGTACAGCCTTCAATCGGTTCATTTAATTCCTGATATAGCCAACTTAGGCCTATTATAAAGGCCTCGGTCACGGTGTATCATAACATTCGGTTGAGTCTCCCTCTACCCAAGGACTTTCCTACAGGGCCCTGTTAGCACGGTGCAGGTGCCAATATCAGCGAAACAGAAATACTCATATGCTCGTAATAACAACACCTATTATCTGCTGCAGACAAATGGCAAGTAATGCCAGACCCTTGAAACATGACGTTATATCTTGACTGAAAAAATGCCTTATCATGTCTGTTTCTCCGTGCGGCCATGCTGCCATGGCCTTGCGTCAATCCTGTCGTCTGCTAGTATCTGAAATGATGCAATTCAGCGATTCGCGATGAGTTCACTCACCCTTACAATTCTAAATATTTTCTTTGAGCTTGCCCACGCGAATAGAACCATTGTTTCCTTCAGTCTCTATTACAACGTTAATTTGTATTGTCCTCTCCATCGTCGAAACATCGAGAACACCAGCGCACTACAGGGGCGCCAGCACTATTAGTATTTCCCGTCAAATCTCGGATGCCGTAAAGCCTTTGACTCGCTACGAAATTATACAACTTCCGAACGAATAATGATATAAGCATACAATAAACTGCATAAGGATATGCACACCTTCCAGTTTCATACACATCGCTGTAATTTTGAGTGCAGAGGACAGGTGGCACTAGTTGTAGCGGATACCTTTTCAAGCAAGTAAATTGGACGGGATGCCCACAACTTGTACTCGTATCTCTCGCTCTCCTGATCTGACACCCTTGAATTTTTTTGCTAATAATGCGCGTCTTCCATTCCTGAATTTTACCTGATTATTTTTTGTGCAACCGGAACCTGACGAAACTCTACATGAGTGGCACCAAGGTATTTCGCTTGATCCACTCTTTTGAAAAGGTATCCACTATAAGCATGTAGCAATATGGTTATTTCCACTTCGGAAGTGTGCATACCCAGCTTAAAATCTCGGCTGGAAACAGCTATAATTTCCAGCTGGATCCCAACAGTAAATTCATGCCCATTCCAACTGGGTAGCAGCTGGAAAGTAGTCAGATTCAGATTGGTTTCTAGTTGCAATATCACTAGCTGAATGAGAATCCTTTTGTTGAATATTTTTGTCGGAGGTTCAGAAGCAGAAACAACTGAATTTCAGTTGTAAACTCAGCTGTATTCCAGCTGTCGGGTCCTCTGTATGAAACTCTAACTGAAAATTTCCAGCTGGAAACAGCTATTAAAACCAGCTCCATTCCAGTTGGAAAATTAAACCTATAAACCTATAAACCAACCGGTATCTACTATTTTCCAGCTCTTGTGCCATATCAGCTTGGAATTCGGACCATATCAGCTGGATATGGTCCGAATTTACAGATTTAGTCCAGCTGAAATATTCCAGTAGGGATTTTCAACTGGGTACCCAGCAAAAAGTTCCAGCTAGAAACAGCAAGCTTTTACAGCAAGTAAATGTGTGCCACTTCCAGCAGGAACGGCAGCATTTCCAACCAGAACTAGTCGTAAATTGGTATGCCTTTTCTAACTGGAATGAACCAACAGGATCCAGCTGGATACCACGCTGTATTCTGCTGGATTTCTGCTTTTCCTGTCGGAAAATGCCTACCTTCTAATTCCCGATTGGAACCAGTTACGTTTCCTGCACGCAATCCACATGCCGGAAAAGTCCATCACAAACCAGGTGTAAAACCAGTAATATTTCCAGCCGAAACTTTTTGCCGGGTATCGTTGTGTTTTACGGCATGGGATAAGGGTAGTTGCGCATTCGGAGGATAAGTACGCACGTAATGCGTCAAGGGTTCCATGAACACTATTTTGGGCGCTTTCGAAAATTTAGAATCAGAAACTTGTTCTGTATCAATCCTTATTAATTTCCGAAATTGAAGAAGTAAAGTGTTCGATTCTGACATAAATTGGTTCCAATCAGCTTTTAGTGGCTTGAGAGCTCGATGGGAGGAAGCGTGTGAGCTGGATGGAAAATTCGCAGAGCATTAAATTCACGTATTTCAAAACCTTTTTTTGAAGAAAAAAAAAAACGGGATCGAACTTCAGGGGAATGCATGTAACTTCGTCCGAATAATAGACTTTTCAACAAAAATAGCCTCAATCGAGAAGTCTCGTCCAGGGCTTTCAAAAAATGTATGATTTGCATTATTTGCTCCACTTGGCGCAAATACAGCCTTAAGTGAAAAAAAAAGAAGTTTACTATGGATCACCTTGTACTGTCACTTCTACTCTCACGCTTGATTGACACCACGGCCGCCCGCAGGATGATTCCACTACATCCCATCGTCGTTGTATAGATCGCCGATGATAAATTTCAAGATCATGTTATTCTTGATTCTTGTCCCTCAGACAGCATGACGTTGAGGGTCGCATCGTTTCCAATCGTAACACCCCTCTGATTCTCAATTGGGAAGCGGAAAATGGAGCCCGAAGAAGCGGCCATCTTCAACTCTTTCCGGTTTCAAATCCCGACTGAATTTTTCCATTTGAACCAAAGCCGTAAACTCAGGCTCTTCCCAGCCGGCAAATGACTGGAAAAAGCTAGATGCAGGTTGTTTTACAGCTGGAAATTTATAACCGGATTGCAGCTGGTTTTAATAACTGTATCCAGCTGGATATCAGCAGTATACGGCTGAATTTACAGATGAAATTCAACTGCTTCTGTAGAAGAACCTTCGGCAAGAATAGTGAACAAAACCATTCTCAATTCACCTGGGATATGGCAGCTGAGAACCGATCTGGGTCTGACTTTACTTTCCAGCTGTTTACCAGTTGGAATAAGTCTGAATTTCCAGCTGTAGTCCAGCTGGAAATTATAACTGTTTCCAATTGGGATTTTAAGGTAGGTTGCAAACCAGAGTATTTCTCCTCCTATCTAACTACCCTCATGAAGCAAGATTCTCACTATCCAAATGCTTATCACACCCTAGAATGTCGTTAAAGTCTGTCCTTTTGAAAGCGCCCACTGCCACGATTTGAATCGCAGAAATGCGTCAGATTTCTCAATCTGTCCTGGTAATTTCGCCCAAGTACTGGTTTCAGTACCGATCGACCTGAACCTCCTCGGGTTATTAATGCGATTAGAGTGATTAGATTTTCCAGCACTATCTCTGTCGAAATCCAGTCGACACAAACTCGGAATCGGGCGCAAATTAGGGAAAATTAAATATTAATATCCTCCTTACTCCTTATGACTACGATCCAATTTATATCAGTAGACTTTCTTTTATAACTGAGAGTCGCCGAAAGAGAAACCAATTCAAGACTTGATTCAGCAGCGACAATAGCCATCTACATGTGGAAGGCGTCAGACTAAGTGAACGACTGGTTTGCATATGAGAGAAAGTCCAATGTCAGAAACAATACCCATTCATCCGAATAGCGTAAGAGGGACTCGGGCGCAAAGCTTTCCTGTATTTTTAGGGATGTCAGCTAGGACGTCAGCCTATAGATAAGAGCCGCTTAAAAGGATTGCCATTTTGGCTCAAGGCGTCTACCCGATGTCACTGGCCGACGCGAGAAAGGTCGGAGGCTTATGTCTATGTTCGAGAGACACGTAAGGAGATTTATGGCCTGAGGACACTTTCTCATTTTGCGTATCATCCTTGTGAAGGTCATAAAAAAAACTAGGCATGTTTGCGTGCTATGCGTTCTCAAGCGTGGATGCCTGCATTTACGTGCATGCTCATTTGCGTTCGAAAGCGATGCATACGAGTCCAAATGCATCAGCATTCGTTACCGAGGGGCAAACGTAGCGCGATCACGATGGAAGAATGAATGCATGTTGGCGTTGGAAATCGGACAGAATTCAATTCGAAACGTGAAGGTTGCGTTTTCTTTTTACCTGCAAAAGCAGGTGGGCGTGCATGAACGTGAGTGTTTCTTTGCATTCGAACGCATGTCGATTTGTGCAGACAAGCACATCGCATGCATCACTAAATCACGTATGTCACAC